ATTGGGAATATGGACAGGGAAAAGACAATTTAGAATTAAATTAAAGGAAGACCCAACTGGTTATGAAAGACATTGTCACCCACCTGCATGTTTCACTATTCGTGCAGATTGGGGGATTCATTATGTCAATTAATAATTTTTTAGAAATGCAGTACATATGGACATACAGAAGATGCATGTAGCCAGGTGTGTTGCTGAAGTTGTAATGCACTGGGACACAACGTAAGAGACTACAATGAATTAAGGAAATATCATTTATGTAATGCAGAATCTCACTTGGCTAAAAACTGTCCCAAACCTCGATCCTATGCAGTTGTTCTTAGGGACAATACTTTCGCCAGCAGCCAAGAAACAAAGAAATAAAAGACACCAATGATGCTGCAGTCAGTATTTCTCACTTTTTTCTCACTGGAATGCCTTAGCAACCCCCCAAGCTTACTAATTGATGAAGGAGCAAGATGAACATTGGCATCCTTTTTAGTTTTTTTTATTGTCTTTTGATATTTTTGTAAGAAGCATTTTCTAAACTACATTCATAATAACATGATGGATTTTAAAATTATGACCTGTTAAGAGGAGGAGCAGTCTTTACTTACTTAACAACTTGTAATTTTGACAAACTCATGTTTATCAAGGAATGGGTCAAGGGAGAGTCCAAATGGCATGTGGGGTGGGTACATTGCAGTGCAGACACTAAGTTGATAATTACACACAGGTTTGTTGCCAAAACTGCAACACTCTCTACAGGCTTTGTGTTATGCTCTAAAGAGTTAAGGAAATGTACTTTATGCTGAATCTCATTTGGCCAAGAACTGCCTGGAACCCTGACTTTATGCAACTTTTTTTGAGGGAAGGGATTTTGGCAGATGGCAGTGAAACAAGTGAAACTGAAAAACATCTCTTGAAAGTGGCACAGGTGGGGAAAATGAGTGTGTCAATTAGCAATTAGGAAAAGAAAAAAGATGGTTGTGGAAAAGTAGTGGCATGTAGTCAGAGTGGCCACGCAATATGTATGTAAAGAGGAGGCAAGGTTGAGTGTATGCGAGGACAAGGAGTCAGAGAGAGACCAGTGGTGTGACGACCCACTCCATATTGCCTTTTTTAAAATTTTTTTAGGCTGTTTGTGTGTCTAATTTGCAGGCATTGGAGGGGTGGAAGGGCTCATTCCCAATCAGTGACAATGGCAACACCTGGGCCCTGTGCTCTCTAACAGCCATAAGCAGTCAGTTGCTGGGTGCTGCTTTACTTTGAGACACCTTTGCCTTTGGTTTGGTTCTCTACTAAGCAATATTGCGTACGCCATTCTTCCACCCATGCATGCATCTATTGATGGCCAAATGAAGCTTTCCAAAGCACTGAAGCTTGTATTGAAAAATGGTTCATTACTCCAAGCTTTTCAACACAGTCCTCTCCGGTGACATCTGGTGGCGAATATTTTGAAGAGCAGCTTGAATCTGCAAAATAAAACGGATTGCTCAATCATCACTGCTCACTCAAGAGTGGAGTTCTCTCCGATATTGGGCCACCGTTCCGTTGCTTTGAACATGTAATTGGTTTTGTTTTCTCGATTGGGGGGCTGAAAAAATGTAATGCGTATTTGCGTAATACATTTTGATCAATAAACTTTCCCTATTTAAACATGCACTATGGTGGCCTTTATTTGCTCATAACTCCTTGATGTTGGTAAATACAATAAGTGAGCAATATATATAATATACATATGATAATGCACAGCACATTATGGAGTATGCCCCTGCTGTGAAGTCCTGCCTCCATCTACTTGTCATTTAATCACTGGACAGCTGAACAGGTTCATACAAAATATTAGATGAGGCCAATTGTCCTATACATATTTTGACCTAGGGGTGGGATTGATTGTGAACTGGAAAGGGAAAATGCTTAGGGGGCTGAGTATGGCTGCATCGTTACTGATTTGTAGAATCATTGTGATTCGATACAGGATCCGATTCAATTTGATTGGAATCTGGAAAGTTTTGCCTCAGTCAGAAATATTACAATTCTGGTCATGTATCAGTATATATCCATAATTTCGTATCTATTAAAAGAAAGCTGACACATGTGAGACTTAATTAGAGATGTAAACAGAGAGTTATGAAACCTGCAGCTGCAGAAGCCAGCGGGAAAAAGAGGCAAACACAGCGCGGACCCGCCGACACATCAAAATCTGACTCTGACGCGTCGGGTCCGCGCTCTGTGTTCACGTTTGTATGCAGAATCCGTAAACCTGCTGCCAGTTACTGTTTTAGCTGTATGGTGTTTGACGACATGTTGTGAGGTTTAACCTGAGATGCTGGCGTTTCAGGCATAATAACGTTAATTTACAAATCGACACGGGATTGTAATGAATCAATATCACTTTATTCAATTTAGCATGGATTGTAATCAGAAAGGCGATAATCAAAACCCACCCCTAATCAAGAACTTGCAAAGTAAAAACATGATCTATGTAAGCTAGCCCTTTTGTTATTTACATTTAAAAAGAGGATTAGTGTTACTGTGCGCTGGCTGAGTCTGTTTCTTTTCTTAGAAATAGTTTCTCCTGCCCTGGAGAAAATCCACTTGCATGGAACAGAAGAGGCTGTGGAGTGCAGGAACCACACTGCAAGTTGGTAGATATGCAGGTATTCCTGGGTCCTGCAGACTATCACCTAAAAACAATAAACAAAATGATTTTCTAAACTGTAGCAATGTAATGTACGTATAGTGTCAAATACATTGTTGTAGTCTTCATTAGCTTTAATTCACATGGAAGTGTTCCTAAAGTCATATGCTGTAATGATATTTACATTATGAAAACATGATTTTGGACATTTCAAGTTTTTCACTTCGGCAGATAAAATGAATTGAGCAAAATCAACTCAAAATATTCCCACACGCCAGAACGTCCTCTCTTCCTCGCTGGCTCCATATCTGTCAGTGGAATGATCACCTCTTCGCTCTCTGTCACCATCAACACACTCCACGAATCCCGTGGATGATTCACTTCCTTATATCCGTTTGAATCAGGTACCGAAGCAGTTACGTGCGTAATGAAGCTTCGGACGTCACTGGTCACGTGACTTTTGCCAAACGAAGCAAGCCTCGACACAGTGCTTCTGAACCAGTGTGTTGTTTTTTTCGACACACGCTCCGGAGCGTCAGCTTCAAGCGGGCCATCACTACATGCATCTATACCACAGATTGTACTGACCGCACACTCCAGGGTTTGTGTAAGGCTTTGTTTTTGTTTCTTTTATTTGAAATACAATTTTGAATGATACTTGGTGAGGTAATGTAGTTCAAGCGGTAAGGAAGTTGAGAAGTAGATGGCATCTACTTCTCAACTTCAGCATCGATTTCACAGGTCTTTCCTCCCCACTGCTGTCAGACTCCACAACAAAGACTTTGCAGCTAATCGAACACACAAACCCACACATGTGCAATAAGACTAAGTGCAATATTCTTTTTCTGACAAAATTGTATTTTAACTCAGTTGTATATAGCATTTGTATTCTATTTTTATCCTATTGTATATTTTATTTTATTCTATTGTATATAGTATTTTATTTTATTCTTTTCTATTCTGTACAGTTGTGTACAGTATCTTATTCTTATTGTATTCCAGTGTTCTCTAATTTTTGCTATATAACTGTGCACTGTTCACTTTCTGCTGTAACAAAACAAATTTCCCATGTGTGGGACTAATAAAGGTGATGTTATCAGCAGACTGGTCAAATTTCTTCTTAGTGTATTTTATTTTCTGCCATCTCATTTTGTATACTTTTTTTTTTTTACACGCACCTGAACCTCATTAGTCACTACCATTAAGAAATAGGTTAGATCAAACAACACAATCTAAAAAAAGAAACAAGAATAAGAATATTCATTTAATTTACGCACCCATTTACACAACTAAATGGTTTGAAAAGTAAAACACTTTATACAGTAAAACTCAAAAGGTTGCTTTAAAGAAAATAAACAATACTATGCAAAAAGGAAAAACCCTTCATTTGGTTGCACCCAGTGATGCTATCAATGACATCATGAACTTATATAAACAGGAAGTGCTGGGCCAGCCCCTCCGATACATCATGTACTTAGCAATTAACCACTAGAGAGCTGGACAGGTATGTTTATAAATCATATTATTATATTGGGCAAATCTCTTACATATTTGGACCTGGGGAAAGAATTGATTGTGAACTGGGAGGGGAAAATGCTTAAAACTATAAACTTCTATAAACTTTTAAAGTAAACACGATGCATTTAAGGTTATCCTGTTTGGTTTTTATTTAAGAAAAGAATTTTTTCCACTGTGTGAGGACTGAGTCTGTTTCTTGGATGTAATTTCTCCTGCCTTAGAGAAAATCCTCTCACATGGAACAGATGATGCTGGAGTGCACAGAAACTGCAACGCAAGTTTGTAAAGATGGGGGTATACAGTCTTCCTGGTTGCCCAGAAGTAGAGTGGATCCTCTGTCCGGGGAATCAAAGGATCTGCCATGTACCTCTGTACGTCCACTGTGGTATCTATGGTAGCATTCCTTGGCTGCCTCTCCACCACATGGCTTCTCACAGATCCCACAGACCATCACCTAAAATAAAAAATAAAAAAAATTAAATGGCTGCACATTTTGTAGAATAACAAAGATTTATTTATTTATTTATTATAATAAATAATAATACTCACATTCTCCTCATGGCTGGTGGTTACCAGATAGTCATGGAGGCCTGTGTGAATGGGGCCTTATCCACTTGATTCTATACAGTCACCATGATTGTCACACAAGCAAAACAGCAGACAAGTTAAGGTCACGTGGTTAGAGGTCACATGTATATAATATAGACCTCTGCCTCCACAGAAGTTGGCGTCCCAGGTGGCATTAATGGGCATTTAACAAAGGTTTATTATGACCTGACCTACTTACAGCAAGCACTGAAAATAAAAATGATAATGTCTCTGAGATAGATCTTTTCCTTTCTGCTCTCTCATTTGCCAGCTGTTTAGGCACATGCTGCATCGAGAATTCATGGATGAGGAGACAAGGCCACTATCCAGGAGGTTTACAGAATGGGTCTACGGACCTGTTCATTCTTCACTTTATGACATGACCTCCATTGACACCAATGAAGAAAACTCTGTGTTAGAGATAATAATTTTTGGGAGTGAGATTCCGGTGAGAAATTCCAATTTTGACCTCATTTTAGTTTATTTTATTATATTTCTATGCTTTATTCCCTCCAATGTTTTAGATAAAGTAGGAAATGGGGTATGCTGTGGGGTATGTTTGTAGAGGCAGTAGAGCCTTTTAAACAATGATGGAAACAGTGTTGAATGTGCTCAGATGAAACTAGAAGTACTCTATGCATAGGCAGTGTAGAGAGAAATTAACAGTAGCAAAATCCTCTTGCCTCACTGTGCTTAGATAGTATTGCATGGGATAAATTTAGCAAATATTAAATATATGATATATACTGTTCTATCGAAATTTAAAACAAATGTCCTCTTATGTGCATCTCATTTTTCTCAGAAACAAAAATCAGGAAAAAAATCAGGTAATTCTTTGTTTTTACATTCATCTGGTCCCAATCAGCCCAAATAGCAAAGAGAAATTAAAAATGCATGCCATGAAAGAGTTTGGGTTAATATAAAGGAGGTTAATATAAAACCCATCTTGTAAATTTCAGAATCGTCCCGAGATGCTTCAGATTGAACCACTTCGCAGTCTTCTTCAGAATAAGTGGGAAAGGTTCGCTTCCAAATTATTCTTGATGAATTTCTTGCTTTATGTGGTTTACCTGACTATCTTCACTGCTGTGGCCTTGCACAGAAAGGATGGAAAGGTAAAAAGGGTTAAACATCCTCTAACTTAAATGACAAATGTTTATGTTTTAAGACATTCACCTTTGCCTAAGCAAAGACTCTTAAACCCTCAGCCGCCATTTCCCATTGAAAATTTTCCACTTGACCATCTCCGTTGTGTTGGTGAGATCCTCAGTGTCTTTGGAGCACTAATCTTTCTCTATAAGACGCTAAGAAAGTGGAACCTGGTCACATCATTCACACAGAAAGAGTTAAACTTACTAATGTAATAACCTTGAAATCCCTAGATAAATCATTTCTGTAGGAACCCTCCGAATTTCAGGGTCCTATCTATTGATGGATTCAATGATATTGTGTTGTAAGTATCACCATGAAATATTTATATATACCCTGACCTTACTATTACTGCTGTCTTAGAAATCTCTTGTCTTTGCAGTTTCCTGCAGGCAGCACTCCTGATCTGTGTGATTATGTATGGCTGTGGGCAGGAGGAATACGTTGGACTTCTTGTGCTCTCCTTGCTTCTTGCCTGGGTGAACTTTCTTTACTACCTAAGAGGTTCCAAGCAATTAGGGATGTATGGTGTCATGATGCAAAGGGTAAGGGTTTTGTTACCAAAACTATGAAAATAGGCTGCCTGGGCAGATATGAGTGGCTCAGTTTAAAATATGTGTCTCTCTTTACATGATCTTACGTGACCTGTTGCACTTTTTATCCGTTTACTGTGTCTTGCTTTTTGGATTTTCTGCTGGTAAGATTTTAATAGACTCCAAATCTAAGAACATACGAATGTGCAAAATAGATGCTTACCAAGATTTGCAGTTTTGACTTGGATTTTCTCTTTTTTTTTTTTTTATAGCTTTTGTTGCTCTTATACGTGACCCGCCTACAGTAGTGTCAGCTGCCCAAAACCTGACAGCTGACATACAGCTACAAGGAAGGAGCTTGACTGCTTCTGTAAATAAGCTAGGTTATAGAGACGTTCGTTTTACTATACTGGAAATGTTCAAGTTCACTATTGGAATGGGAGATCTGCAGTTCACGGACGACGTTCAGTACAAAGAAGTTTACCACATCCTGCTCATCTCTTACATAGTTCTCACATACATCCTCCTGCTGAACATGCTGATAGCCCTGATGAGCAACACAGTTGAAAGACTCTCAAACCAAAGCAAAAACATCTGGAACCTGCAGGTGGGATGCTGTTAAAGTCTGCAACCATGACCTCAAAAAATTCCAGGCAATTCTTCATTATATTAGTTAAGATACTGGATATTATATTTTATTTACAAGTCACCTCAGTAAATGGTAAATGGCCTGTATTTGTATAGCGCTTTACTTAGTCCCTATGGACCCCAAAGTGCTTTACACTACATTCAGTCATCCACACACACATTCACACACTGGTGATGGCAAACTACACTGTAGCCACAGCTGCCCTGGAGCGCACTGACAGAGGCGAGGCTGCCGGACACTGGTGCCACCGAGCCCTCTAACCACCACCAGTAGACAACGGGTGAAGTGTCTTGCCCAAGGACACAACGACCAAGGCCACGATCGCCCCAGTATCTGCCACAGTATCACTGTCATTGGACAGAAGTGAGCTTCACTGACTCATCAGACTCCAAATTTTATGACCTCCTACAGAGTAAACAGACACACACTGACACTTAGGTAAACAGTGGACTGACAGCCTACACTGACTACAGATGAGTACTATAGAGTCTTTGTTCTCTACCCAGCCACTTGCTAGGAGCTAGAGTTATGCACTTGAATTGGCATGGGTAAAAAAACAAAATTCAGTTGACTCTAATCTTTAATTCAATTCAATTTGAATTCAGTTTTATTTATATAGCGCCAAATCATAACAACAGTAGCCTCAAGGCGCTTTATATTGTAGACCCTACAATAATACATACAGAGAAAATGACCCCCAATGAGCAAGTACTTTGGTGACAGTGGGAAAAAAAACTCCCTTTTAACAGGAAGAAACCTCCAGCAGAACCAGGCTCAGGAAGGGGCGGGGCCATCTGCTGCGACCGGTTGGGGTGAGAGAAGGAAGACAGGATAAAGACATGCTGTGGAAGAGAGACAGAGATTAATAACAGGTACGATTCAATGCAGAGAGGTCTGTTAATACATAGTGAGTGAAAAAGGTGACTGACTAATAGACCTCTCTGCATTGAATCATACCTGTTATTCTACTGTGTAATATAAAGCGCCTTGAGGCAACTGTTGTTGTAATTTGACGCTATATAAATAAAATTGAATTGAATTGAATTGAAAAGGAAAAACTCAGTGCATCATGGGAGTCCCCCAGCAGCATGTGCCTACTGCAGCATAACTAAGGGAGGATTCAGGGTCACCTGGTCCAGCCCTAACTATATGCTTTAGCAAAAAGGAAAGTTTTAAGCCTAATCTTAAAAGTGTCTGTCTCCCAAATCCAAACTGGAAGCAAGCTTCACAGCAGCCTTACTGGTAGGACAAAAGACCACACGCACATTTTTACGATTTCTTTCTGCAAAAATGCTACTAAAGAGGCACCATTTAAATCTTCAGGGATTCGAGGGCCTGTAAATCTGCTCTTGAAGAGGATACACAACCGTGGTCAACATCAGCAGCAGTCCCACATTCCCTAGATTAAGCAGAATATAAAAATCCCCCAATTATTTTTGCTAGAGCCATAACCAGATTAGACTGAAGTAGCTTTATATTAGTCACTGCTAATAATGATGTTTTATTGCACTTTAAGCAGCTCCAGTCTGAAACAAGCAGTTCTATCTCATGTCCCTTTCAAGCTTTCTCCCTGAAAGCCCACTATGTCCTGACTGGTTTCCCATTACCTGTCTTCTATAAACAGAGCTTCAGCTTGGGTTCAGAATTTTTGATTGTCACATTCTTGAGCAGGCAAATTTAAATTTGTGATTGCAATGAAAGAGCTGCAATTTTTGTATTAAATTAAATATTTAGATAGCACAGATGCATGTGTGTGAATCTGCATGACTCTATTTAAAGTCAAACTTTTGAGCCTTAGGATAAAAAGTGTTACCTACCTACACACAACTGAAGTATATGCCGAAGAGGAGTTTGCTGTTGTCAGTTGTTTTGCATTCTTTATTACGTGTTCACAGTCTTATGATAGCTGAGTGTTCACATCCTAGTATTGATATATTAAGACATGGGTGTTTCAGTTTCCACCGAGGAACAAGATTGAAAAGTAGTAACAAAATGCAGTCTGGTCACAAGTGTAAATAAGTTTCATTCTTCTGAGTAGAAACAAAGAACAATATCTCACGCATCATTTGTTTCAAGATCACCTCAAACGAATGTGATGCATATGAGGGAGGAGTCGACTTTTCAGAAAATGTTTTATCTTGCATCTTTAGTGTGCACAAGAAATTCTGCTGGATATTATATTACTTAAATGATGTATTGAGGAGGGCAACTAGCCAACTGATTCTGTTTCCATTTAAATGGGTAGAATTAAAAATATCTTTGTTATTTTTTTTATCTTCATATAATTATATTATAGCTCCTGTACTTATTATCACATAAGTCACACTTTCAAACATGTGAAAATGGAATAAAGTTCTCTTTGGTTTACTCGTGGAGAAAATGTCTGTTTATTTAGGGTAAATTAGTACATCAGACTGGACAGATTGAATGAAAACAAATATTTAAATGTTACACACTAAGTTACTACAATTAATTCATTAAAAATATCTTTCCTAAACGGTGTGCTTTCCTGTATTGTGTCCTTCTTCTGTGGAAAGCATGGAGATGCACCAGTCACTCAGAGGCAAGGCAAGGCAAGGCAAGTTTATTTGTATAGCACAATTCAACAACAAGGTGATTCAAAGTGCTTTACAGAGACATTAGAAACAAAAACAAATAAAAAGCATGATTTAAAACAAGCAAACAAACAAATTAACAAACAAACAAACAAACAAAACAGTGTATAAAATGAGAGAAAGGAGTATGATAATACTCTTGCCCACTGACACGGAGAGGGAAGAATGGTTAGCTTAAATTAGTAGGTGCAATTTTTCTCAGACTAAAGTGACAGCTTTAGTAACAAAAAGCAAAACATCACCAGTGTTAATATACAAAATATTACATTTATATATTTGTATTTTCAGTAAACCCTGCTTATTATATCCAAGGGCAAGATGAGACTAAAAACAGCTCGCCCCACTGTCTTTGTGCATTGCACTGTGTTTAGAAAGCACATTTTCACTGCTAATATGCGCTATAAAATAGGATTGCACTCACAGTTATATGTAAAATAGTTTTATATGGTTGCAGAAAGAAACAGGTGCATTTCAGCCTGTGATTTTCCACAGCCTCTCTATTGTATATGTGGGTGTTACCCCTATTAAAACATAGTCCAGACCCAGCCTTTGGTGGACAGATGCAACAATCATTGACTCAACAGCAATGAATTCCTAACACAGCAATACTTAAATAGAAACAACAAATGCAGGTGTAACTCTTAATAAGGGGGAGATTACCTGTAAATACACTGATGCTGTTTTCGAAACAATGGCTATTTTCAATTTCAATCTATCACTGGGACAGATACAGCAGAAATTCGAGAAAGTGAGAATAGTTACACTAACTCAGCAATTCCCAAAGTCAAAAACGCTGAGGTCCACTAAAAACTAGAAAATTGAATCAAAGTACAGAAGAAAGTGATGTATTTTGCTAAAAATCTTATCTAAAAAAAACAACGTTAAGCCCATTGGATGATCCACATGCAGTGTTGGGAAGGTTACTTTTAAAATGTATTTCACTACAGATTACAGAATACATGCCCCAAAATGTATTTTGTAACATATTCCGTTACATTACTCAATGAGAGTAACGTATTCTGACTACTTTGGATTACTTAATATATTATCAAGCTTTTTACAACTACTTGAATGTGCAATTGTTGTGTGATTTATTCGTATTACTGAAGGTTACTCGCCATACCAATACCAACTAGATTTTTAAATCTTAATATAAATGAGTAAGTGAACATTAGGTAAGGCTGCACTTTTAGCAGCGATCTCGTATTAAAACGATTCTGCGCGTATATAAAACAAGTCTGAGGCTCCAAACCGTAGTAAAGGGACTAATACAGGGGTGGCCAACTCCAGGCCTCGAGAGCCGGCATCCTGCAGGTTTTTGATCTCACCCTGGGTCAACACACCTGAATCAAATGATTAGTTCATTACCAGGCTTCTGGAGAACTTCAAGACATGCTGAGGGGATCATTTAGCCATTTGAATCAGCTGTGTTGGATCAAGGACACATCTAAAACCTAAAGGACACCGGCTCTCGAGGCCTGGAGTTGGCCACCCCTGGGTTAATATGTTGGTTCCATGTCGGGCTTGTAGCCGAAAACTAGCTTTACTTTGTTGTCTGGGTCAACTTTGCTAGCGAGAGACAGAGAGAGGCGTTGAAAGGCTGCTCCAACGGAACTTATTGTCTTTGGAGGAAAACACGAACACAGTGTACAGTCGAGTCTTAATAGCTTACTTACAACTGGGCTACACTGCCCATGAGGCTGCATTCTTTCGGGCTATGCCTGGAACACTCTGCCTATTGCCTCTATATTAAATAATTTTTTGAACAATAATTTAAAAATAATATTTCTTCATGTCGTTATGTGGCCGCAAGTAGAGGTGACATGGGCCGTGACATTGAGACACAGCCATTAGAGCCTCTTAGTACGTGTTTTTTTTTGGGTTTCCACTGACGTGGAATTACCAAAAGATTGCATAGCCTAACATGTGAAACAGGAAAAGACCGCTGTGTGATCCTTTGTTGGTCGTGTATCTTGGTCTTCAAGTTTATATTATGGTTAAGCTGAGGACAGGAGATTCCTGGACTGAAGTTTCAATTTGTGCCCGTTTCTGTAGTTCAGATAGCAGATGGCTGCCCCTTCCAGGCCTGGTTCTGTTGGAGTTTTCTACCTGTTAAAGGGGAGTTTTTCTTTCCCACTGTTGCCAAGTGCTTCCTTGTTTGATTGGTGGTTTTCTCTGTATTATTGCAGTGTCTCCTTCATACAATGTAAAACATCTTCAGGTGAATGCTTTTGCAATTCAGCGTGATATAAATAAAATAAAACTAAATTGAACTATTTTTTTCCAACTGTTCTAACTGAAGGAAGAAGTCATCATGAAGTGCCTAAAACTGCAATTCCTCCAATGTCAACTCAAAGC